ATAACTGTTTATTGTTTTCGTGTTCTATGGTAAATTTTATGTTGGGATGAATGGAATTTATGTGTTTAAAGAAAGTTAGTGTGTGTTCTGTAGAAGGGAAACCAGCAAAAGTGTCATCGACATATCTGTACCAGTAGAGTGGGGGATGAAGCGCAGAATGTATGGCTTGTGTTTTGATCTGGGTCATGAATATATTGGCAAGAACAGGCGAAACTGGATTGCCCATACTTACACCATCTATTTGAAGGAAATGTTCGTTGTTGAAAATGAAGTTGGTTTTAGTCGTTATAAATTCTAAGAGAGAAGCAAAAAGTGTGCTGGGGATGTGCATTAACTTGTTGGGGTCATTAATGTAGAGGTTGAGTGCAATATGGCAAGCTTCATTCCTCGTCATCGAATTGTGAGACATTACAAAGTTTGAATGATAAATGGACAAGTTTTGCTTTATTTCCAAGGATTAAATACAATAATGACACTACAAATATAATTAAATTTTACTTATGAAAACTTTAAAAATTAAAAATACGTTTAGTTAGGCATAAGATTTAAATAAACCAATATAAAAAACTGAATTTGTCACATTTAATATTTCAGGAAATACAGTAGGTCTCTTTTCAAGGTTTAGGAGTTCTTTTGAGCAGTCAACTTTTGTTACTGAAAAAGTCCCTAACAGTATTTCAGTTGCCAGAGTTTTCTTCCTTATAAGATAAATAAAGTCCTTGACAGTATTTCAGTTGCCAGAGTTTTCCTGCATATGAGGTAAATAACTTTTCTCCAAGCAGCTTCTTTAGTTTCCTCTAAAAAGAACAAAAAAAAAAAAATTCCAAAATGAATGAAGAATTAAATTCATAATTAGAAAGGAAATACCAAGGTCTTATGTAAGACCACATTAGCTTAAAGAAACATTTAAATTCACATGTACAGAACTTGAGTCACTACTCATAACAGCTACAATTCAAAATGAGGATAATTATTTTGAGGTCTAAGACAGCATCAACATTAGTAAAACAAAATTAAATTAAAATACTGAAGATATATCCAAATCACTAAAAAGAGAATATCCTTTACCTGAGGGTGATTTTTATCTCCATTTCCAAGAATCTGAAGAGCTTTTTTCAAAAGATCTTCACTTAAGCCCATCAAACAATCCCTGGAAAGATGGTAATTTGTGTCATAATGAGTATCCTTATGATTATCAAATTTTCTTCATTGTTGTTCTAACGTGCTTATTTGACACGACAATAAGAAGACACTAAGGTTGAAACTTAAACTTTATCGGTACAATATAACCTCTGTTAATGAAAGATGTTGGCCAATCATCTTCTGTCTCACAGTAACATCTGTACTTCATGTCTCCATGGCATTTAAACAATTTCATAACAACCTACTAGAGATAAGCATTTCTTTAAATTATTATACTACTGAAATCTTTAATTAACATAATAATCTACACTGCTAGAACCTTGAGATAAAATCCAACCAGCAGAAGCTGAAAGATGCTTGTCAATTCTGGACAAGAAAAAGGTATCAGTTCAGTTTGCTGAACAGATCACAGAAAAGATAAATTTGGACTCAAAAAAATAGCATGGTCTGTCAGGTAGTCAGAAACATACCACTGTTAATCATATGATAACATAACCTACTAATAATAGACTAAAGAATTATCCCATATAGTACAGTTTCCAATCTATTTTTCTCACCTTATTGCTCACTTTGAAATCCTACTTCTTAAGGCACCACATCAATAGTAAATAGCCAATGTATTGGTACAAGATAATCTACTCCCAAAAGAAGGCTAATTCTGCCTCAAGCAGGGACCTGTGGTACTAAATTAACCAGTAGTAAACAGTGTAAGGTTATTAGACACCCTATTTCATCTTTAGGCTAATGCTGCCTCAAGCAGGGACCTGTGGTATTAATTAACCAGTAGTAAACAGTGTAAGGTTATTAGACACCGTATTTCATCTTTAGGCTAATGCTGCCTCAAGCACGCACCTGTGGTACTAAATTAACCAACAGTAAACAGTGCAGGAGTATAAGACACCATATTTCTTGTGTAGGCTACTTCTGCCTAAGCAGGGACCTGTGGTACTAAATTAACCAGCAGTAAATAGTGCAGGAGTATAAGACACCATGTTTCTTCTTTAGGTTAATGCTGCCTCAAGTAGAGACCTGTGGTACTAAATTAACCACCAGTAAATAGTGCAGGAGTATAAGACACCATGTTTCTTCTTTTGGCTAATGCTGCCTCAAGCAGAGACCTGTGGTACTAAATTAACCAGCAGTAAGCAGTGTAGGAGTATAAGACACTCTATTTCTTGTGTAAGCTATATAACCAATGACTTTAATTTTTTTTTTTGTTCTGAAACAATTTAATAAGTATTCTTTTGTAGGAGATAATTTTTTTATGCTGAGGTGAGAGAAAAGTATATTGTCATTTAACTAGATGTTATTAAACACACTAATATGACATTTTCAACTAACCCTGTTAGAATTTTAATTCTTTGGTCAAGATTTATTCTGTTACTTGAGTCATCTTCGTATGCTGGAAACTTGGAGCTTAATTTTTCAGGAGCAGATGATGATAATCGGAGACTAGTATTGAGAGCCGTCATTAAATCTGCCATCTCAGGATCATCACTGTTTAGAGAAATGAAGTTCAGTATATCAATTGTAATCCTCTATATTTGCCTCAATTCTTTACCACTCAATGAGTACCTTGTGCTTTTAATAATATAATTTTTTTCCTATATAAGCTGATTCTGTTCTTACAAAAAGCATGTCTTATATTTTCTCACAACTAACTGATAACAGAAACACTTTTTTAAACTATGCTTTGTCTAAACTTCTACTTACTGTTAATAACACAAGAGACAGTGAATTCTAAGACAAACTTCGACATAATGGTTGGGGACGGCTTGAATGGGTAATGAAGAAAACTTTAATATAAGTTTAACATAACAGCAAATGTACAACGTTTCGACAAAGTTTTGTCATCATCAGGTATCAAAACCTTATTGAAATGTTGTACATTTGCTGTTGTGTTAAACTAATATTAAAGTTTTTC